GTAAATTGATATTTTAAAATACGTGTAGATGACCAAAACTTAGTGTTTAAAAAATCATCTGGACAGTACCCAATTTTTAAAACAAATTTGGATAATTATGAAACAAAAAGTTTTAATGAAATCTGTCTCTTAGTGAGATGGATGTTGTCCCTCCCTCCTTCTCTGCCTCAATTAGTTCATGCACCCATGGGCACATATAATATTGCTATGGTTACAACGAAAGCAGTATATAGCAGCATTTCTTTTCCTTTGTATTATTTTACAGACATATTCTCTGAAACAGGTATCTACAAAAATAAAGACCTAAGAATGGAAATTTCGTCAGGTGTTTTACTCAATTCTTTGCTTTCTTAGTAAAAATCCAACAATTAAGCAGTGATGTCATCAAAAGTCAACACTTTAAATTTTCAGAGATATCAAATTCATATTCAAAACTACATGGATCCAGTTTCAAGTTCTCAACCTTCTACCAGATCGGGAGTCAGTATCTTAATCTCCACTTGTAGTCCCATGAAGCTAGTCTCACAGATCCACGTAATTCTCTACTTTAATGAGCTTAAAATCTAGGTTTAACAAAATGAAACTTGTCTCCAACAGTAGGCAACAACACTACTTAGTACCAAAAATTAGATCAAGAAGCAAAATGAACATTATATTAATTCCCAAATACAATTCTATAAAAATAAATTTTGCTGTGGATAATGTAAAACATCGGTAAATTTCGCAGTCCTTTTGCCTCCTCTGACACACACAGTTAGCTTGAAGTAAAAAAGGCTGCCTCTACTTGCCAAACAGTTGAGTGGAGACTGCATAGGCACAGAATGGGCCGGATTTGGCCCTCTCCTCCCACATGAATCTTGAGAGGGCAAAGTGATAGTCCTATTGAGATTTTATAATCAAGGAAATAGAAATTTTATACAGAACACATGTCTATATCATTACTACAAAGAAATCTTAAGTGTTATGTTTAATTGAAGGTTAAAGTTCACCAAATATTAAGAATGTGTAGATGCTAAGAGAATCTTAAGACTCAATGGCAGCATTCTCTGGGTCTGAAATAACCGAAGTAAATTCTTCCTAAAGATCTGGAATAGGCATTTCACTGGTATCCATTCTGACATGCATTTAAAAGACTCTCCTCCCCCATCTCAGAACTTTCCAGTCAAATTTGCTAATAGTGGAGTAAACCAAAGATTTTGCAGAAAGGAAAACTGTTACTTTAAGAAGAAACTACAAATGCAAGACATAAATTTGTTACGTAATAAGTTAAATGTTGACCAGTGCATGGTGGTCACTGAGATGGTATGACCCCCCCCCCACCCCCCAGGGAGCACGAGTCAGACGGTCATTGTCCACCTAAGGGATCAGAGCCACCAATTCAGGAGGCGTTTCCCTGTTGGCAGACTGGGATCCGGAGGGTAGATTAAGAGGTTGGGTATTCTTCCTGGTTTAGGAGTAATCAGTACTGGTGTTTTTTAGTAATGACTGCCCAGGCTCCAGTCAGGCATGCATGATTTAATTACCCAGGGAGCACGAGTCAGACGGTCATTGTCCACCTAAGGGATCAGAGCCACCAATTCAGGAGGCGTTTCCCTGTTGGCAGACTGGGATCCGGAGGGTAGATTAAGAGGTTGGGTATTCTTCCTGGTTTAGGAGTAATCAGTACTGGTGTTTTTTAGTAATGACTGCCCAGGCTCCAGTCAGGCATGCATGATTTAATTATTAAATGTCACACAGGGAATATAATACTAGCCTTGCATATGACTGTTTTTTTTTTAAAGCTATGTTTATTACAGAACTTCTTTTACTGGTTACTGGGTTTACGTTAAAAAGTATACACGTTTTGGGCATAAAAATCCAATTTTAAAGATTGTAGCTGAGAATGAGCCTAGTATGTGCGCACGCTGTTTTGCTTTCAGACAGGAACGCCTAGTGCTCATAAGGTGCCTAAACTCGAATGCTGCTGAAATGTTTTTGACAAACTTTTGGTGGCTAGTCACGAGAACGGCCTTAAGCACCACCGCCAGGGCTGTGGAACAATCCCTAGGGCTCTTACCGAATGTCACATCCAGAGTACCCCAGCTTGACTCACGAGGAGACATGAGGAGAGGTTGGCATGAGGCATTCATGGAGGAATTGGCGCTTGCCATGAGCGGACCGGACAGCGGACTAGTCCACGCACACAACGGGTAGGGCTGCACTCTCCCGGACTGCTGGTTGGAGCCGAGGCTAATTGATTGGGTCTTTCAGGGAAAATGTGCCGCAAAGAAGGGATCTTTGCTGTTCCAGGACTTGCGCACCCCCACATGGCTCACTGCAGCTCCACCACGACTTCGACTAAACAGCACATTACAAGTAGATCAAGCGGCACGCTCCATTTCCAGCTGGGAGAGGTGGCTCTGAAAAGAGCCTTTGGATTTCAAGGCGCCACAGTGTCCCACTTGGAGCTGGTATACTGGTGACAGCTTTGGTGCCTTCGGATACGGGATGCTTGGCCAGTTTCCCCGGCAACAGCAGGCACATGACCGTTTGCACCTCCGGAGACGTGATGGCGGAACGCGTGTTGTACTGCGCCAGGCGGGAGGCCTCGCTGGTAAAGCGCTCGAACTTGTCTTTCACTTACGAGTTTATGATGCCTGTATTCGGGTGCACTTGCTTCAGCACTTTGCACACGTAGGTGGAGTAGCTCTCCTTGTGGCTGCATTTGTGCTTCTTCTCCACTTTCTGTGCCTTAAGTGTTGCCCTTCTTGGAGCCTTTCTTCGGTGCCAGAGCTGAGCGAGAAAGCTACTGTACGGGAAAACAGCCACCAGCAAAAAGTGGAACAAGGCGGAAATGGGACCCACGGAAAAGAATGTGGTGCAAATAGTGCTATTTATCATCTCCATATTCAAATGAAGGCTCCAAATCTTTACACTCTGATGGGACAGCTGGCCGAGTGCTTTCCGGGACCTGAGGAATTTATGTAAATAGCAGATGCCGCTCCTTCTTTCCTGTTGGACAATAGTACAACCAGTACAAAGGTATGTCTGCCGCTCACAAGCAGTCAGGTTCAAAACTTTTGTTGTCACCCGTGGGAGTGTCTTTGTTTATTCACCGTGGCTGGCTATAGCAAAAAAATAAAATAACTGGAAAGGAAGTAAACCGTTTTAACCCGCGTCAGCACCTTATTTGGATAGACGGCAAATGGGGGGAGGGGCTGGGGAGAGGGGAGCATTTCTCTCAGAGGCTTAAGGTCCAAGGAAGGGGAAATTGATGCTTATTCAGCGAGGGACTGAGAATGGCTGCTTCCAATTTCCTTAACCATTTCTTTCTCATCATCTTCCCAAACCCTGCAAAGGCCAAAGAGATAAATTCCTTTCAGAATTCAAGAGTAAAGACAAACGATGTTTTGAGAAACTGAGGACATAGTATTGAAGATATATTAAGGTGCTGACATTGGAATTGTAGCATCAGGGCAGACTTACTGGAGAGAGGACTTGTCTGGGTTTCAGAGAAAACACTAGTCCTTACAAACCCCTTTGAAATGACAGCCATATGCTAAGTGCTCGATATGTGAGCTCTCATCCAGTCTCCTAATCCCCCCAAGGGTTAGATACTATTAACGTTCTCTAATTACCTATAAGAACACGGTCTTATGGAACTGGTAAAATATAAAGGAGACATACTAAAAATTTTAAATTTGGGTAAAAATTGATTTGAATTGGGCAGCATCCAGTCTAGCAAACAGAAAAGAGTTCTGAGATGCTGTATAAAATAAAAGCCTATAGGCAAAAGGGAGCAGGAACAGGGAAGTCATACTAGGCAAAGCGGGTTAGGTATTACAAGTTGCTTTCCTTTAAGGGATGGCAGGGGTTTCTCATGCAGATACCTCACTAGTGCTGATCAGACAATTTCTAATTGTTTGGTTTAAGATTCCACTTCTGAGGGAGCTAAAATTGAAAACAGGCTAAGTTTCAGGTTGGTGATATGAGGCTTAGTATAAGTGGCTCCAATTTGGGCCTGTTTTATTGTTTTTAACAGAAGTCACCAGTCCCTTGTTAAATTAATTCCTATATACACAAGGTTAAGTTCCCTTATTATGTTAACTTCCAAGATAGAAATATCAGGTGTAATGAATTCACATTTTTCACTTATTTTATTGTCACCTAGGAGGCTCGTTAGAAATGCAGAAGAATCTTGGGCCCCATCCCAAATGTATTGAGTCAGAATCTGCATTTAAATACATTCATATACACTTTACAGTTTGGGAAGCTCTGGTCTGCAGGTCATTTACCTGGCTACCATCCATGGCATTACCCAGACTGGCCAGGGGGTGTAGTGGTGTCCCCGGTAGACAAAATGGTTCACCTAGTTCAGAGAAGTTAGCACTTTGCTTTCAAGATACCAACATAAGCAGTACCTTCTACATGCAAGTCCATCCTCTGAGGTCCATTGGGCATCTGGAGATTGTAGGTCCCCTGAGCTGCTTTGGACATCCTCAGCATTAACCATTTTATCTATTTACTTTAAAAATATAGAGTTGATTTAACAAACATTTCTATACAGCTCATTATCAGCTAGGTAACCTCTTAATAAATACTTGATTCAACTTAGTGCTAATAACAGCCCTTTCAAGTATGCACTATTATTAACTCCATTTTACAGATAGGAAGCAAAGGGCTGAAGAAAATATGGCTCATGTGAGACAGCTGATGAGGTGGCGAGCTGGCCATGGAAGTAAGGCCAGCTGGTGCCAAGCTCCCTGCTAACCGCCACCTAGATGTTTTTTTTACCTTTTGAGTGTTAAATTTCATTTCGAAAAGGAAATAGCACTTAAGATGTGGTGTGTAGAAGAAAAATATTAACAAAATTAAAATAGATTGCTCTGTGTTTAAGGTTTTTTGGGAAAAAAGTCAGAAATCTTAAAATTTCTACCGGAATAGAAACATGAAAGTACTATAGATGAAATTAATGCTCAATTCCACAATTGCAGATTCAGTTTATTTTTTATTCTTTGAATTCAAGGCATCTTAAGAAAATAGACAATAGCTTTCTTCTGGATCATTTATTCAAATTTATTTTTATACCAGAGACTCGATAATCACTATATAAAAATTATTAATGTCACTCCATCTCCCCATCCCCAGCACCCCTGGGAGAGGGCTGAAGCCTGATGTCGCATAGGAGCTTCACTCAAAGCAAAAACCTTTCCTTTCACTTGTGGATCTGGTTGGCACAAATTCTCTGGCTGCAAGCTGCCTTCTATTCTTAAACTCAGTTCTGAATAGGTCTTTCTGTCTCAGTGGAAGCTCATTGGCGATTAGATGTTGAAAGAGTTAACACCTTTATAATGTTGGGGAGGAAAGACTTTCCCTCATTCCTGGGTTGGATGCCTGAGTCTATGAAGTCAACAAACAAAAGTCAGATTAACAGGACAAAAGGTATAAACATTTATTCAATTTTAACAGTATGGCAAACGGAATCACAGGGTGAAAAAGGTGAATACCCCCCAAAGTGATGAGATTTGAGAGTTTACAGTATGTCTTAATAGGGGAAGGGGAGTGGGGACGTAAGCCTCTTAGGGAAGAGTAAATGATTTTAGGAAAAATGATTGGGCCTTTAGGAGACTAGGTGGGAGGAATGACAGTTTGTGACAAAATCTGGATATGGCATGGACTTTAGTCTCCTCCTAGGTAAGAGTCAAGCTTCCCTGGTTGATAAAACTCCTGGGAGGGGATTGCTGGCAGTTGAGTCCATTTTGGAGGATCTGTCTTAGGCAAATAAGGTAGGTTCAGAGAAAGCCTTTCCCAGCATTTGTAGTTTTTCTAGTGGCTTCAACTCAAAATAATCGATATACCAATGCGGCATATTTTCAGGTAGCGTGTTCTGAACTCCTTCACTAGCAAAGGTGTTTGTCACAGAGATCTGAGCTTGAGGTTTAGGGAGGGGGTGGTTGGAGGATGTCGCATGACAGCAATATGATTTGCAGGGCCCGGAGCAAAATGAGAATGTGGGCACCTTGTCCAAAGACTATAGAGAATTCTAAGAGGGCCATGGCAGAGCACGGGGTGCTTCTCAGGGTGGCCCTGCTGTAGTCCCATGAGCTGGCCCTGGATGCCCCTGGGCCTGTGCCTCATGAACGAGGAGGGCATCCTAGGCGTTATGCATCCATGGTCCCCCTCCCCCTCTGTGGGATTGCAGGTGAGCATTTCTAGGAAGCACTTGGGTAAGAAGTTGTCCTTCTGCGTATGTGCTAAGATTTGGGAGTCGATCTGCCCCATATGGAGGTTATTTAGTGCCAGAAAATCAGGAGTAGAATCTCATGGGCTAAATATTTGTGTACCCCCAAAATTCATATGTGGAAACCTTAACCCCCAAGGTGATAGTACAAGGGATGGGGATTTTGGGAGGTGATTAGGTCATGAGAGTGGAGCCACCATGATGAGGTTGGTGTCTCATCAATGAGGCAGGAAAGAGCTCAATGCTGATTCTCCTTCTCCTTTCTTCCCCTGTGAAGACACAGTAAGAAGAAGACCGTCTGCAATCTGGAAGGGGGTCCGAACCCATCCATGCTAGTACCCTGATCTCAGACTTTCAGTCTCCAGAGTTGTGAGAAATAAATGTTATTTTAGCCGCCCAGTCTGTGGTGCTTTATTCTAGCAGCCTAAGTGGACTAAGGCAGCCACTGGAGTCAAGAGCAATGTGATGTTTTTACAGATGGAAACAATATAGGGCAAGCTTGAGGTTTCCAGAAAAAAAAAAAAAAGAGAGAGGGAAAGAAAAGGTGAGTGAAGGAAGGAAAGAAGAAAGAGGGTGGGTTGGAGACAAAGGCAGAGAAAAGGCAGAAAAAGAAGAGAAAAGAATCCATGGCCTGCAGCTTAGCCACCTGGGACAGACAGCTGTGCTTGTAATGGCCTAGAACAGGGCCACGGATGGTATCGGTCCGTGGCCGACCAACCCCTGGGCCGCAGATGGTATCGGTCCCTGGCCTGTTAGGAACTGAGCCATAGCAGGAGGTGAGTGGTGGGTGAGAGAGCGAAGCTTCATCTGTATTTGCAGCCTTTCCCCGATGTTAGCATTACTGCCTCAGCTCTACGTCAGATCATCAGGCATTAGATTCTCATAGGAGCGTGAACCCTATTGTGAACTGCACATGTGAGAGATCTAGATTGTGTGCTCCTTATGAGAATCTAATGCCTGATGATCTGAGGTGGAACTTAAGCGGTGATGCTAGTGCTGGGGAGTGGATGCAAAGATCAACGTTAGTGGAGAGGTTTGACTGCACAGAGACCATAATACATCAATTGCTTGCAGACTCATATCAAAACCTTATCAGTGAGTGTGGCAAAAAATAAGCCGGATCTGGTGGCAGGCCTTATGGTGGCAAGTGAGTTGATGTACTTCAATTGTACAGCTACATCTGGTGGCATCCGATTCTGCATTTTGATAAGTTGTATAATTATTTCATTATATATTACAATGTAATAATAATAGAAATAAAGTGCACAATAAATGTAATGCACTTAAATTGTCCCAAAACCAATCCCCCGCCGCCTCCTGGTTCATGGAAAAATTGTCTTCCACGAAACAAACCCCTAGTGCCAAGAAAAAGTTGGAGACTGCTGGCCTAGAAGAGCAATTAACTTAAAAAGGAGTTTGGATAATAAAAACAAACAAAAATAAACCCCAAAACATACCCCCATCCTCATCAGTTCTAGACTGCAGTGCCTGGTGCTGGTAGCAACTGAATGAGCATGAAGAGTGCATTTCACCTACCTGGGTTCTCAGCAGCATGGTGATGCCATCCTTTTCTACTAAGTTAGGGATGATGTGCACTCACCTCCCTCCTCATTCAGTAGAGTCCCTGTAAATTCTCTCAAAGAAGCATTTCCTATAAATGAATCATTGCAACGGCAAACAACCAATACATTGCTTCCCCTCGCCCCCCCCCTTACCCAAAGGAGTGCTGATTCTCTCCTTATTGGAATAGCTAATGTAACACTTGCTACACGTAGAGTCTGCTGGGAGGGAGGGCTGCCCGGAGGTGGTGCCCTGCAGACTCACACAGCACACCGCCAGGGCTACTGTGGATGCGTTTTAATCATTGGCATTGAGAGCCCTTGGAAGGTGGGGGTAAGACCACAGGGTGTGCTGGGGAGCTCCGGAGAGGAGATGAGCCTCACCAAACGTCTACAGTTTTGGAAAAAATTGCAGGGCAGCCTTTGTTCTCTGGACAGCTTCCAGCGTGCTCTGGTGGACATAGGCCGTCCTCTCACTGCACATGGGATGCCTGTATAGCGGTGGCTGAGGATCTTTCTCTCCAAGGCCCTGCCCAGGAGCGGGTCCCCGGGCCCCTGGGCCCCTGCGTAGGACCTGGAATGAAACAGGTGCTGGCCTGCATCTCGCCCAAGGTGACCGGGGTGTTCCTTCCCAAACGCCCCTGGTGGCCAAAGCGGTTCTTGTGCCCATTTCCAGTTTATTTCAGCAAACAGAAAAGATAAAGTCTGCAATCAAATCTCAGCGGCAGGTGTGAATGAAGGACAGGTGACCACAACTGCGAAGGTGGGAGAGGGCCAGGAAACCAAATCTGAGAGGCAGCAGCCGGCACTGTGATGGACGCACAGCCAGCCTGCAGACCGTGTGAATGCGTTTGGGTCTAAGCGCCAGGCAGACAAGCAGAGAGGGTGGACACACCCGGGAAAACAGCCTACCCCTGGGTCCCTGAAACACAAAGGGCCCCCGAATCCTGTGTGTTTCAGGGACCCAGGAGTGGGCTGTCTTCCCCTGACATCCTCCCCTACCCCCATAGACTGGGGCAAATTCTCCCCAGTCTATGGGGGTGGGGGAGGA